GGCTTGCCATTGTCTGGGGCTGATTAAGTCGATGGTTAATGTATCCTCCTTGTGTAAAAGATAATAGATCATCCTTTAATGTATTTAATTCACTTTGAAATTTACTAATATTTTCCATTTGTACTTCTTACTTCCTTTCTTGTTCCAGTTGCCACTGGTGCTGGTTTTCTTGCCATTGCTGTAGTTTCTCTTCTTGTTCATTTTCTTTCTCCTCCAACAACTGCTGTATTCTCTCTTTTTGTTTATTTTCTTTCTCCTCCAACCACTGCTGTAGCCTCTCTTCTTGTTTCTTTTCTTGCTCCTCCAACCACTTCTGTTGTTGGAACGAAGTGAACAATGGAGCAAATGACGTTGCTGAAGACGTGTCACCTGAAAAAGCCCCAGTCGATGAAGAAGCTGTATCCAGTTTGAGAAGGAAAACAGTGAAGTTGTTAATGAATTTACTACCACTGATGTGACTGTTGCCGATAATGGAACATTTCCTGATGGAGCAGATAAACCCCACGTGAAGCAGAAGCCAATGAGATGGAGACCAGTACGGAAGAATAAACGTCCTGTAAAATTAAGAGACTTTGTTGTATTTTAGTTTTGTGTTTGTATATTCTGAACATTTAATTAAGTTATTGTTAATTATCTATTGGTTTAATGTAAGTGGCTATTGTTCTGGATGAACAATGCTAAGGAAGGGGCAGTGTTACGACAGTGGAATTCGCGTATATATACTTTCAATGTATAAGAAAGTAAAAATAATAATGAAAGTTTTCTTAAGCTCTTTGTAGGCGAGAGAGGCATATAATAAATATATTATGATGTTCCACTCTACACAATAAATCGTTTTCGTTTGATCATTCAATTTCATTCTTTTGCTGAGATATAGATTTTTTTTATAACAAATCAGTATTCCCTAATTAGGAGGTATGGGTGTCAGTGAGGGAGGAGGAGAAACCGGAGACTCTTAATGACTTTTCACACCTTACACAGTATGTTCCATACTAAACTTATGCCAATTTCAGCTTTTTTGTAACAGGTCTTTATTTCCTGGGCTATATCTTATAGTGTTGTCGACAGGAACCTCAGGACCTCCAGCAAGCCGATTTACTTTTGGTGAAGCCTTCACTGTAGTGATCATATGCTGATATGCTGCCCTTTCATTGATATCCTTCCAAAGTTGATCACAACAAACAACTTTTGACATGGATCACCTATTCTCCATGAATATGAAGAGCCCTGGTATTAAACAAAAAGCTTCTTTAGCACTGGATGTAGCAAATATTGTTTGTTTGAGATATTATTATACAGTCTTCTTCACTTGCACTTAGACTAGCTTGCTGTTTCGTCAATTCTTCTTAGTAATGAGAAGGCTAACTTAACAAAATAATAATTAATAATAAAAATTGTGTCAAACTAAATAACTAATATAATGTTCAAAATCCATACCATAATTCTGGTGTGGTGTGTTACATCAATACAAGTGATCAAGAATTAAATTTCACCAACTTAAATCCACTTCACACCATAACAGTTTTTGTGAAGAAATTTGCTACTATAAAAAGAGCCTCAATAACTAGTTAGATCTAATTTGATGTTCATGACTTTCTCTGGATGGTTTTGTGGTAAAATAGCTAGAGAGTATTACCCTCCCAAGTTAGAAATGAATCTTAAAATCCTAGTCACTCACCTAAATAAGCATAACTATCGGAACTTATCATACCCACCTAAAGTCTAATCTTATTCCAGTAGATCTTAAATTCGCATGTAGGGGCTGAAGAAAAACAACAGTTTCTAAGTGCTTCCAGGTTGTTTCTCAAACCCCTTCAGAGCTTGTGAGATTTAAACCCTAAATTACTGCGAAGTTTATTAATTCATTCATTTAGATCTGTGTGGTACATTTTTACAATCGAGACTTTTTTGCCACTCAGGATTACTAGTATATTGAAGTTTTCATATATATATTACAACAACAAGATTTAGATGAAGTAAAACAGTTTATTACTCAAGTGTTTAATTTTTGTTTGTAGTATATGTACAGGAACGTGTAACTTATCTGAGTGACAATTTCAATGAAGACCCAGAATATGACCACCTGCTTCTCTGGAGACCCACTAACGACTTTTAACCAATACCAGTTGCTCATGGACCCCCAGGATTGTTGTTTGTTTAGTGATGTTTATTAGTTATGTTTAGTTTGTTTAGCCTTCTTCCAGTGATGACGAGA